ATCGTTTTAATATCGTTTTGATATAGTTTTGATATCGTTTCGATATCGTTCGATATCGTTTCGATATCGTTTCGATGTCGTTTCGATATCGTTTCGATATCCCATTTTCCTAGCGGGGCGTCCTCCGGCACCTACCCTCCGCGTCGCAGCTGGGCACCTGGTCGGGCCAGTCGCACTGGTAGCTCTGGGGGTTGAAGGCGAGCCCGTCGGGGCAGTCGAAGACGTGGCCACGGCCCGCGGCGCAGTTGAGGAACTGGCCGCAGTGCGCGGCGTCGCCCAGCGGGAAGTACCCGAACTGGTGCGGGCAGTCCGCCGTGGGCTGCGCGGGCTCTGCAAGCAGCACCAGCGCTCGTTGTCAACAAGTACGACGTGCGATAGGGGGTACAAATATCATGGGGTAAAAAAAAAATTAGAATGTCCACTGATGTCCAGTAGATCCCTTGATATCTGTATCCCTGTGGTACCCTGTGGTACAAATATCATCTCCTCAGAGCTCTGTTTGTGGTCATGTTCCCTTTTCGGTCGGGGACCATAATATTTGTACCCCTGCCCTTGGGGGCACCATTCGCACGCGTAGTTGAGAGCGGTTCTGCTGTACTAAACTACTATACTCACGTAGGGCGGAACGGGTGAGGCACTGGACCTCGTTCGGGTAGCTGCAGGGGTACTGGAACGGGGTGCTCTTGTCGTTGAACAGCAGGCCCTCCGGACACAGCTCCTCGCTGGCGACGCCGTCGTTGCACTTGTAGTAGGCGTCGCACTGCCGCGGGTTGGCGAAGTAGCCGTACCTGTCCGGGCAGCTGAAGCCCGAGCCTGAAGCCTGCTGGAACTGCTGCCGCTGCTGGAACGGCTGCTGCTGGAACGGCTGCTGCTGAAACTGCTGCTGGAACTGTCCGGAACCTGAGGAAAAAGTGGTGGGCGAGAGTTACCATAAACTGCATAGTACACCAAATGTTCTTTATTTCCTTGATTTTTTGACATTTTCTAATCTTTCTTATTTTTTCTCATTTTGATTGATTTTCACTGATTTTTTTTTTGCCGTGGTTCTCGGTTTTTCTCACATTTTCCCTGTTTTTTTCTGATTTTTTTTTTTTAAAGTAAAGGAACCCACGCTTCGGTGGTGGGCGCCCGTCAGAGCCGGGGTAGGCCACCAGTCGCGCGCCCGCGTTCTCGTGCGGCCGCCCTCCCCTCTCCCAGGCTCCAGACGTGGTCCAGATCCTCTAGACGTGGTCCAGATCCTCCAGACTCTGGAGAGCCCCCCCCCCCCCCCAAGCCCACCTGACGTGCGCGTCGAGTCCAGGCCGCGCCCCTGCAGGCCCGCGTCATGTAGCCCCAAACAAAAGACCTGCTCACCGACTGACTCGGCCTTGGCATACATCATCTTCCATACGGGAGACGTGCCGGTGTGAGCATGTTGCACAAATAGACGACAAGGCGTGGTTGGCGGCGCACGCGTTGTCTCAGGCTGTGCTGACTGATGCCTCTTACTCCTCGTGTGACCTCCCTTTTATTGGAACCTATTTTCGTGAGGTGTTGTGGTCCGGGGCCCGCGCGAGTGACTCACGACTCGCCGTTGCCAGGGGAGCTCGAAAGGTCAGCAGAGGAGGCGCAACACGGGGGAAGGACGCTCCAGGCTGGACACTCCGGGCTGGGAGCCTCCAGCCTGTTAGCCTCCGGGCTGGCAGCCTCCAGGCTGGGAGCCTCCGGGCTGGGAGCCTCCAGGCTGGGATGGGAACATCCAGGCTGGGAGCCTCCAGGCTGAGAGCCTCCAGGTTGGGAACATCCAGGCTGGGAGCCTCCAGGCTGGGAACATCCAGGCTGGGAGCGTCCAGGCTGAGAGCCTCTATGTTGGGAGCCTCCAGGCTGGAGCCTCAAAGCGGGTCCAGCAGCCCCTCTGTGGCCCAGCTTCCGGAGCGGTCCATCTTGCTTCTTCGGTCAGCTCTATCTCCGAGCACTCCCGCACCTGCAGCCTAGCAGGGTGAGGCAATGGCGGTCACTGCTCAGTGTGACCCTTGACCTTGCGCGCGGCTCGAGGCGCTCAAGGCCCTGCGGGTCGCCGTCGCCCGGGCCGGGGATTCCGGTTTCGGGTGCAGAGGCTCCATGCTGCGGAGGCTGGGCCGTGTCCACTGGAGCCTCCAGAGGGAAGGACAAACCTCACTGTCACGCATCATCTTTACGTAACTGTATCAAGTTTCGTACAGTCATTCGTTTGGCGTGTCAACATTAGATCACAATAAAATGTTGATACATTACATTAAGTGCAACGTTTGCCACTGACCGCCAGGAAAACGGACACCACCGTTACTACTTGCTCTTGCTACCTCGCAAATGGAACAAATGTCGGCGATTTTACGACACGCGGACAGGTGTCGAAATGAGCGCATCAATCGCGGAACGATTTGCATGTACTGCAGTCACGCCATGCTGAATGGCGGCGCCCTCGACCAGATCCGGCCAATTCGCGAGTCTCGAATCGAAGCACATTATTAAGAGTTTCAATTATTTTTATTTTTCTTGCAAAACATATAATCGTAAATTTCGGCTGACAACAAAAGGAGAAGACGTCAAGCGACCATACTACTACTTACTGCCGCAGACGAGGAGGGCCAGGGCGGCCAGGACGGCCAGGGGGCTCATGGTGTCGGCGGGGAGGTGCTGACGCGCTGCTGCTCGGAGTGGGACTGGCGGGCGGCGGAGGTGCGGCAAGGCAAGGCACGCGCGCCCCGGGCCGTCCACACGGTGTTTCTCTGTCTCTCTCTCGCACACGGTGACCTTCCAGGGGGAGCGGGGCAGAGAGGGGGA